GGGTGGAGGGACAACGCAGGAGGGGAAGGCCCTCTATGAGGTGGATTGATTCAGTGACTGGGATAATTGGGATGGGAGTGTCAGAGACAGTGCGATTGACACAGGATAGAGCAGAGTTTAGGGCTGTTGTACATAGGGTCGCTATGAGTCACAGGTGACTCGACGGCACATAACAACAACAAAAACAACATAAAATGAATGTAAGAAAATCAGAGTATACAAACCCTCATCAGTGCGCTAAGAGGCAACATCACGATAGATGGAGAAAAGACTGAAATTGTCAATGCTTTCATTGCACTTGGATCCTAGATGGAGAAAAGACTGAAATTTGCAATGCTTTCATTGCACTTGGATCCACCTTTGGTACCAGCAGTTAAGAAATAAGAAGACACTGCACTGAGAAAGTCTGCTTCCAGGGACCGCTCTAAAGTACTAAAGAGTAATGATGCCAGTTTGAAGACTAAGGTGCACCTGACTGAGACCATGGTCTTTTCAATCACTTGATATGCACCTGAGGGCTGTACAATGAATAAGGATGATAGAGTAATGGATACTTTTGAGTTGTGGTGCTGGAGAAGAGTACTAAATATCCCATAGGCACCAAAAGAGGAAACAGATAGGTCTTGGGGGAAGAAAAGGTAGTCAGAGTACTCCTTATAGGCAAGGATGGCAAAGCTCACATACTTTTAGGCATGCTGTTAGAAAGAGCTATTCCTTAGAAAAACATTATGGAAGGGAGCTCTGGTGGCCCAGTGGCGAGAAGCTGCATTGCAATCCCAGAAGTAAGCTGTTTGAATCCACCAGACGCTCTGCTCCTGTACTAGTCAGATCAGATTTGACGGTACACGAACAAAAAATAATAAAATTTTAAGAAAGAAAAGTTTGTTAAAAAAAAGGGAAAGACATTATGCTTGGAAATGTGAATGGTCAGTGAAAGAGAGGACCCTCAACCAGAAGGACTGACACAGTGACTGCATCAATGAGCTGTGGTATACCAGAAATGAGGAGGAGAGCACAGCGTAGGGCAAAGTTCAGATCTGTTGTTTATCGGGTTGCCGTAAGTGGTATTCAACTCCACGGCACCTAACAACAACAGCATGTAAGAAAATCAGGATATGAAAAATAGAGAAATCAGGGTCATAGGGAAATAAAAGGGGAAGCAGAAATGACATAAAGATGAAGAAAGGATTTCGTTGTTCACAAAATACTTGCCCAGAATGGCAGTGCCAAAGCTCAGTCACAAAATGGACGGAAAATAACAACAGATACTTCACCAAAGAAGGTCAGATGGACAACAAATACATGAAGAAATGTTTAAAATCACCAATTATCAGAGAGAAGCAAATCAAAACACTGAGATATCATCTCACTCCAGCAACAACAGTGAAATTCAACGGAACACCAAACAATAAATGCTGGTGAGGATGTGGAGAATGGACGTTTTATACACTGCTGGTAGGAATGTATAATGTTACAACAACTATGGAAGACAGTCTAGTACTTGCTTCCTCAAAAAGTTGAAAATAGAAATATCATTTAACCCAGCTATCCTACCACAGTGAATGTACCCCACAGAAATCAGAGCTGTGACACAAACAAATGTATGCACACTCATGTTTATCACAGCATTATTCACAATAGCAAAGAGATAAAGGCAGTTCATGTGCCCATCTACAACTGAACAGATAGGGGAACTATGGTACTTTCACACAATGGAGTATTACATAGCATTGAAATATTGTTAACTTGTAAAATACTACACAACATGGATGAGTCTGGAAGACATTATGATGAGGGAAATATCTCAGGCAAGGTTTGTGAAGCTCTGTCTCACATATTTTGAGTATGTTGCCAGGAGAGCCCAGTACTTGGAGAAGGACATTATGCTTGGAAGGGTGAAGGGTCAGTGCAGGAGTAGAGCCTGGATGAAGACCCTGAATGAGATGGACTGAC